ACAACAATAAATTTCCTGGTTAAAGCAAGGACCAGGCAAGTGATTGTTCAATGTGGCTGTTACTAATAAACCTTTGTCCATTTGCAGCTGGAATGTACAGAAGTCTGGAGCTGTAATTCTTCTGATGCCATTTACTTTAGCAGTCTCTTCCACAAATGTTCTCAACACACCATGAACTTTCACAACTTTTTGCCCTGTTAAAAATGACACCAAATCAAGAACATGACTTCCAACAAGAGTCAGTGTGCCACCTCCCATGGTATCATCGCATAACCAATTATAAGTATCTCCAAGCAATGATCCCATTTGAACACGAACATCAATTAAAGTTAATTCATCAGGATTACCCAAATAGCCATCTAGAATACATTTTCTCATATGACTAAATGCTGGTAAGAATCTCAAGGAATGATTAATTATAGAAATTAGTGTGGGATAATATTGTGCTGCTCGCACCATTTTTAGTGCTTCAGCTTGACAGAGTCCTGCTGGTTTGTCACAAACAACATGTTTTCCAATTCCAAGAGCTTTAACTGATATTTGAGCATGAAGGTATGGCGCACAGACGATGAAAACAAGATTTACATTCTTCTTTAGCAAAACGTCGTCGATTTTGTTGGTGAAAAATGGGATCTTAAGCTCTTTCGCAGTATTTTCTGCTTCCTGTAAGGTGGTGCCCCATATTGCTTCCACAGAAAATCCTTTTTCTCTTAAAAAAGGGACTAGAACTTTTGCTACTGATCCAGTTCCAAAGACTCCAATTCCAGGTAGCATTGTAACGATTTACGTAAAATATTTAATTTAACTATGTTTTATAACAGAAACATTCAGACCTACCGTTTCATAAGAGTGCTAAAAACCTGAATGTTAAACTCTATTGGCGTTATTTAATCATATCATTGAGTAATACGGAATTTTCAACTAAAACTTATTTATTTAGTTTTATTTTTACTTGATGGATGACAATGACACTGACAATTTGTTGTTGTTGTTACTATTCGCCAGTTAAGGCAAGCAAAAGTCTTAAACCATACAGCCTTGCTAGGGTTGCCAGATCGGAAGATCAAAATATCGGGGTAAAATTTGAAAATGTCGGGATTTTGAGGTTGTCGGGAGAAATAAATGTTAAAAATATAAATATAAAACAAAAATATTATTTTTTAAATTATAGGGCTACAAATATACTTAACATTGTTACCGGATAATTAATGTAAAGCTACACTTAATTTTGGGGTTGCCGCAGGTATTTGGCATTGGACTTTACTGAATCCACCTATTTGGATCCTTTAGCGGAATTCAGAAAAGATTTAAAATTTAACAATTTTCGTCAAAGTTCAGTTTAATTAATACCTCTGCTTTTATTAAGTCAATAGCCATACGATTTCTCTCTTTGGTATATAAATTATTTAGTTAACTAAACACGCTTTCACAGTAAACATTGCTTACAGGAATTGACAACACAAATGATATATTTTTTTTTAATTTTTGATTGCGTTTTGGTTTCATTTAAAAAAAATATGCCCAAATTTTATTATTTGACATGTCTTTGCCTTGTGAAATATGTTCAAATATTTCTCGAAGACAACAGTAATCAGTGTATAAGGAATCTTGGTCATTATCGTTTGAAATATTGAGAATTTTGGGCAATGCGGATAACTCTTCCCACGTAAACAAATTTTCACTTTTTAGAAACAATATAGCGAGTTTTTTGTATAAGGAGTTCTCAGAAAAATCATAGCGTTCATGCAAATATTGAATAACTCGTTTTAAAAACTGTTCAGCTTCGACGCAAAAAAGGTTTTTCTCACTATCCGAAATATTTCATAATAAGGTTCTCTTTCTACTACCAAATAATTTATCGTTGAACCTGTTTTTAAGAGGACTCATCAGTTTTTTCATAACACTGTCAATTTGTGAGACAGTGCATGCATCGCTTTCCAATGCTAAAATTGTTTCTTGGAACTCCAAAATTACGTTGCGTACAAAGTATAAATACTGTTTGCATTCTCCAACTACTTGACTTTTTATCAATATGGATTATATTACTGGTTACAAACTCCCATATCTCCCTTCGACATTCGTCTTTCCTTTTCAGTAAAAGATACTGCTTTACAGCTGGCCAGTTATATATCAAACGATCTATAGCAGGCAAAAGAGACACCAATCTTGTTGGGACATGACGAAGAAGAGTTTGTAATCGACACTTGCAAATAAGAAACATTATTTTAGTTTCTCAGTTTTTGTTGTTTACTAGCTTAACTAGTTGACCTATGTAGTTGACCTGTTGTCCCGCTGATACACTAGAAGGGTTGTTGGTAAATAAAACGATCCGCAACAGTGTATGATCTAATTTGGTCTATATTTTTAACTATATTTTAATCAGTATTGAAATCACTCATGATTATACAGTGAGTGTACTCAGAACAAATATCGACAAGAGCCATATCTAAAGTAGTGAAGTAGTCGGTGGATGGGGAGCAATACATTACCCCTAGAAGCATCCTGATACCCTTGACATCGAGTTCCACAAATATAAAACTCAGAAGAAGCGGAATAGCAGGAGAGAGATGCTAAGAAAATTTTATAAGGAATTGATGCGTGTAGGTAGATTGCTACACCACTTCCACCTTTTCCAACACGATCATTCCTAACAAGTACAAAGCCGGGTAAGGGATATAAGTTGACGGTAAAGAAGGTTTCAGCCAACTTTCCGACACTAATATAGCATGAATATACTCGGGAAAAAATGAAGCTTCAAGTTCGGAATAGTGGCATATGACATATGTTCACAGAGTTGTTAAAAGACGTAAAAACTCCTTTGAGTAGTTCGTGTAAATTAAGCACGTTATCGTTGAGAGAATCATTACAAGAGGGAAATGACAAAGTATAAGAATCATTTGCAGAGCTAAACGACTCAACATCAGACATATTTCATATACTAAAATAATGAATAAATTAAGTAAATATCGCACATACGTTGCTATAACGTCACTTATGCAAATGATGTAATTTTTCAGGAGAAGCGTTTGAAAATTCAACACCCTATTACAACATATAGTTCTTCTCGACTAAAGAAATAAAATGATAATATTTAAACTACAACTTTAAACTTCATTTTAAGGTAAAAGCAAACATCTCACTAATTACTATTAAAAAAAATATAAACGTTTAAAAATTACTACCCCCACAGAAGTGACGTTATGGCACTAGAAAACAATTAACCTGACAATTATGTCAAAACAAACAAAACACAAAATCATGCAATTCTAAAAAAATATTTATTATAGTAGCAAAGAAGTATAACAAAATTTCTTAACTCTACAAAAAAAATCTAATAATCAAACTTTTTAATAACAGTCATCTTCCACTATTAATTAGGTGAAGTTTCGTGTTCAATGAATCATTGATTGATCACGTTTGACATTTAAAAATATAATTACGCAATAATCAACTGTACCATATTCTCTTACTTATCTCTATACAAATTTGGCAAACAGTCTTAAAAAACAAACAATTGTTACGATTCCAGGTTAATCACTGGCGATCAACCAACGAAAAATCAACCTTATCATTGCAATTATCCATAAAACTACTATTAATTAGGCGTTATAATCACAGTCATTGTACCCATAGGGTATTAAATTTTAATTACATAATAATCAACAGTATCAAATACAAATTCTTTTACTTATCCTAATTATCATTTGGTAAACACTCCTAATTTAGAATCACTGCCACATTACCAGGAAAATCGGGGAGTCTTTAACGCTGCGGTTACAATAAAGTTGTTTTTCCTGCAAATGTAAATGTGGCTTTGTAGAATATAAGTAAAATAAAAATTAAATGAGATTATTGTAAAAACTCTCATAGTATCTTGGCACGAGATTAGCCTTCAATAATTGCAATAAATCACGCTTTTTGCGTTCTGTAATTGGTATTTTTGAAGTGTAAGCTTGCTTCAAGATAATTTCATCTATTCTTCGATTGCCTCTATTGCCGCGTAAATTTTTTGGTTGAAGCTGTTGCTTTTGCTTCCTCCCAGTTTTCAGTTTTGTAAGTGGTTCGATATTGGTAATTTACACAATTCTTGGTGAATTTAATACTTTTGATATCACCGGTCTTGATAACATCACCATTGACATTTTTCGCCATATTAAAGTTCATGTTCTCCTCAAGTGATTTCAAATCGAAGAAATCGTCATAATTCATTTCATTTACTACAAATGGTTTACCAGTCTTTTTGGCCCCACGAATTAGGGAAATGTATTGGTCAGGAACATAAATACAACCAGCATTTTTGGCCCTAGTCACAGATTTGTCTATTATTGAATGAGCTGCGTCACCTTCATTTTGCGTGTGGCCACGAATCAGAAAGTTGTGTTGAATTGAGTTAATATTTAAGTTGTTCAATGCATAGTAGTACATTGCAAAAACAAATCGATTTTTTTTGCTGACCACAGCAATTATCAGAATAAATTATGACATCACAGCCTGGTTTTTCAAATGCAATTTGCTGCAGGTATTTATACACACACGACCCTATTTCGATGGCTCCTCTATTGCCCAACCCTTCGTGCCAAAAATAACAGGTTGTTTCTCGTTTGTTTGCGTTAGATATTGTTAAATTATAACAATTAATTCTTGATTTGTAGTAAAACGAGCTTGATTTGCCAACAGGGCAGGGTAACACCGCTTGCAAGTCATAGGTGAAAACAATTGTGTTGTTATCAGGTTCATGACATCTTTTCATATCCCTGTCTTTTTCATGTCTACTTAAGCTTTCTTCTTCCTGATGTAAGTTGAAGCTTTCACGTAATTTTTCTTTTCTACTTCAGAGGCATTTTCGTATGCTTCACACTGATCGCAACGATCTTTTTTGGGTATGAAAAATCTAATGTTAAAATCTTGGTTGAAAATCCGTGAGTAGACGTCGTAGTTTACAATAGGCTTGTTTTGTTGCTTCTGAATTTCGGAATAATTTCTGTGCAATGCTGCGACTGTCAAACCCCATCAATGAATTGTCTGCTAATATTAGCCCTGAGATAATGACTTTCAACCTTTGGAATTGATTCGATATGGTCCTTTACTGCTTGTATAACTTCAGGTTGCAATTTGCATTGCTTTCCGTGTTTTCCTCGTTGATCAGGTGGCGTAAAGCCATCATTCCGTGCTTTGCCGTCGATAACAGTCCGTATTATCCGTTGTGTGATACCCAGAGTGTTGATCAGAAAAGTTTTACAGACGCGGATCTCTTTATTCCCATTAAGCAAGTAATATGCAGTGTTTTCTTTTCTGTCGTACATTTTGTTAGTCTTTATGCGGCTGTAAGCGCATTTTAGTGTTCTTGCACAAGCGTTTAAAAAACCCCGTTGCCTTTCTACACTCTCCAACTTCCAGTAAGACTTAAATATTTCCATCCTTTTTTTGTTCAGTAAATTTTGCAGCACAGGATAACCGACATTTTGAGGTACATGAAGGTCCCATTGTCTTACCTTGATTTAGTTTTTTGGTGTTTACTGAGATATAAGTTTGACCAGAATTTTTCAATCGCTTAGCAACATTCTTTTTCCAGGTTGTTGGATTACGCGTACGCTTACTGCCTCTTGGTTTAGTTATAGGTTGCTCTGTTTGGTTATGCCCGTTAAAAAGACTCTCATTATTAGAATTATTATTCCCAGCAGGAGTATCACTGGAACTGCTACTTGAATTGCCACTGGAACTACTACTGGAGCTACAGCTGGAACTGCTTCTGGAGCTACTGGATGAAGACGACCTCGCACGAGAGTCATCTCCTGAATCAGTGCCGGAGAAATCACCTGTTGGGAAGTCGATATTATTTCGTTCATTCGTTTCATTAGTGGCATATAAAATAGACGGAGAGTTACTGGGGTTCTCTAAAGTAGTATCATTCTGCTCTGTAGTAGTTGTTGTAAGGTCATCTAGATTGGCTGGTGTTACTTGTTTCTCGGAATTTGTATGATGAGACAATGTATGTTCAGAACATGGCATCCTTGTAGAGTTGGCTAAATTTTGCACTTCAACGGAATTTTGATTGCCATTTGAAAGTGCAAGTAGCACAAGGTTTTTACTGCGTTGGTTCATTTCAGATCTGAAAGAAATAAAATACCTACATAATGATAACAAAAAGGTAAACAAAAATGTGATAATAACAAAATATATGATCGAATGATTTACCGATATTATAATTTTTAATTAATACAAAATAATTACTTATTAGATCCTTAAAGGAGTCAATTGATCATGTCGGAACAATTATCATAAAAATATAAAATAATTATAAAATAAAACATTAATCCTACTATACTGGAGCAATATTGTCACAACCATTAATCTTACGTTAACTTTATACCATAAAATACAAATTTTGGGGAAACAACGTCACTACTTACACAAGTGTCATATTGTTGTTTCAAGATACAAACGTCACAACTAAATAAGTGTCGTTATTACTCCAAAAACATAAAAATAAATTGTCACAATTACCTTAGTAACGTTGTACCTCCAGGAGACTGCTTCTTGTGCGGGATGCCGTGCGCAACTGACCAATGAAACGTTGTTTCTCCCAGTGGCATTCAAATTCACGCCAAAACCATAACGACATTAGTGCCCTCACACGAAAAGTATACGTACTACACAAGCGACAATAACGCACCAAGTAAAGAGGTAGATTAGGTGTATTTTCTCATACTCAGTTCAGTTTTGAGAAAAATTGCATAAGTGACGTTATAGCAACGTATGTGCGATATATAGAAAAGTAATAAAAAAAATATAATAAAAAAAGTAAGTTATGTAAACTATAACTATTAACAAACAATTACTAAACATAAACATCACCAACCCATCAGTTCACTGTATACAGAGTAGACTTAATATAAATAAATTTTATATACAAACTTATGATCTATAATATCTAAACTGGCAAAAATAATCTTGACTATGGTTCATAAAAGATAGCTTGATCTCTGCGACAGCTGTCAGTAAAATCACGCATATGAAGTCCTGAATTTCTTAGTAGTACAGACCACTGACTTAAAAGTATATGGACTGGGCATACCTACAGAATTAGCATGACTACCTACAAAAATCTGGCGCATAAAATGGCCGTCTTTTATAGGCGTAGACAGAGAAACCTATAGACAAATTGACGCCTTCTTTCGCATTCGCACACGAAAAAGATAGATTTATGCATACGTCTTGCATAGAAATGAGATAGAGCGGTGTGATTGTTTATCCCTTTCTCCGTGCCGGTTTTTTTGATAGCGTAGCGATATAAGGAGTTTACAAGTTGGTTTAAGTGAGAAAAAAGTGTTTTGTGAGCTTAAGATTGGTGAATCTTGTTCAGTTCAGTTCTTACAACAATTAAAATTTTTATTTAAATGTGTTTAAAAGTCATAAAGATTATTCTATAACCTAAAAATTCGTTATCGTCCTTTCTCACTCGAGGCCACGCCGATCATTAGTATATAGGTTTCTCTGTCTACGTTTATAGGGTTGTAACCGTAGAGTAGAGTAATATATACAGAAATAGAGAGCCATCTCCTAGGATTTTTTGTCACCCAATATGAATAGTGTCGCCGTCTGGTATCATATCCCTTGAACAAATCTCAACATCATGTTGACTATAGATAGTAGACGTGGGTCGTTACGTCATTTTCGTAACGAAACGTAACGAAACCAGTGACTTGATCGGCGTCACCTGTTTCAAAACTAGTGATTTTTGTAACTGGCTATTTTTATTCGGCTACTGTGATTGTTTTCATAAATATCACCACCAACTATACAGTTACACACGAAACGAAAATAAATTTAATCACTATCTGTGTTTGTAGCTATACAGTAACTGTATACTGTTAAATCAATAAATTAACTTCCCTTCATACTTTATTTATGATTAATTTGGGCGTTTTTCAAAAAAATTGTCGGTGACGTAGTTAGAATTCCACTTATATGAGTTTTAACATTTAGCTTCAAAATGTAATTAAATTGATAAAATATAGTATGAGCAGTATGAAAATAGTATTTTTTTAAGAAAATAATAATGAATTTTGAAAATAATTACAATTTTAATTAAATTATGTTCTCAAGAAATTCCATTACGTTACTAATTTTAAAATAGTTTTCATGAAAACTAAAAGAAGTTCAGTATTTTTAACTTTATTTATGAAAAATAAACACAATCTGTTTTCTAAAAAATATTGATAATTCAGCATATTAGATCTAATCAAAAAATGTTTTAACAAAGATATTCCTTACGCTACTTTTGGGTACTTTGTACTATATTTTTTTCATCCTAGAACGTCAAATATGAGAAATATTCTTTCAAAAGTTTAATTATATCAAATTAAAAATTTATAGTAAGCTATATTGAACAAAAACAGTCAAATTTCTTTGAGATCTATTAATTAGTCTTAGAAAATAAATCACAGTAATAATAGGACAGTGACGTTAATGTAATTCGAAAATAACGTTTAGGAACTATAAGGCAACGTCTATATGACTCTCAATTATGACAACAATTATGGTAACTTGTACTTATCGTATTAAACATAATATTACTAGTATGTCATTTAAGAGCGTTTAAAACGTACGGCATTTCATACAAACTTTCAAGTCCTTGTTTTCGAAATGCATGTACCGATTTTAATGAAACTTCACACGCATAAGCAGGACACATAGTTCTAAAAAGTTAGTAAAGAACATTTTTGAAATGTCTTATTTAAAACAAGATAATTGGAAATATCTGTTTCTATGGAAAATTTAAAATCAGCTGAATCTAGCTGTAACATTATTTTTCGAAATAGTTCTCATTAACTTTTTGGACCTATATATCCTGCTTATGCATAGGAAGTTTCATTAAAATCGGTTCATTTATTTCGAAATATAAAGACTTGAAAGTTTGTATGAAATGCCGTACGTTGTAAACGGTCTTAAACTGTAACAAAAAACTATTCATCAGTCCCAAGACAAATCGAACAAAGGTTGAAAAGGTTGTTCCGCTACATATCAGGCAAACCCAATTTTTACATGCATTACATTTTACCATTCTTTGTATAACAAAAGGCTCATGGCAATTGTTATCTGAAACAGATACGAATGATTGGGATAGATTTTTCCAAAAAATTACATCACAATGTAAAGTGATCGTGTTTTTGGAGGCACCAAAGTGCATTGATTGGACTTCTTCACTATATTTACATTCAAAATTCTCTGAAAAGTCGCATAAAATGAGTATCTCGTCATCTTACATGTTCTTGATACAATTTCTGTATTGACGTTGTTGTTCAATCCAAAAGAAATGAGTTTTAAACGCCGGTAGCTCGTTCTGAAAGTTGGTGATGAAAGTACAGTTCCTTTTACTTGTTGTTTGGTGGTCTTTTTAGTTGTATATACTTTGCCAGATATTTCATATTCATGGTTTACCCTAGCCCATTTGAACCATGATATAGCAGAATCGAGGTTTTGTTCATCATATGAAATACTCTTACAATCTTTACATTTATTGTACATGCAGTCATAACGCGTAATATCACATGCAACGATGTTCAAGAGCTCCTTTATATTCTTGTAAGTTATGACATCTTTACACTTCAATGCATTAAACATGTACTCAAAGTTACTGTGCTTAATACATAAGCAGGTTTCTCTATTATTGATACTTGGAGACAGTACATAATAAGGCTTGTATCTGTAAAAGGTGGTGAAGCCGCATGACCCACCGTCTTTTTTATAAATTTCGTATACGTTTTTCAGTGTGTCGACTAAGTATCTTATTTGTGCTTTTTGTTTGTCTTTGGACCTGGTTTCCTTCTTACCAGCTGTGCTTTTACTTATGTAGTCTCTCAAATAAAAAAGTTCTATTTCTTCCTGAGTCTTCTTATTTATTGGTCGTTGTAAATTAATCCTTTTCCTGATTCTTTCTTTAAGACCTAAAATCTTACTTTCAGGTGCTTTTTACAATATATGCGCCTGTTTCCTAATCACGTTTTTAACTAATTGTTTTTCTTTATTTTTCTTACAATTCCTGTACGTACTACGAATTGATATTTCCATTATTTCTTGTCTTGCTTTCAATTTATCGTTTTCTGTGTTCAATAAATCAAATTCGGTTTCATGTTTTTTTTTTCATTCGGCGTAATTTCTTTCTCAGAGTCTGTGTTGTTGTATTATATTGACGAATCGTCTTGAAAGCCTTTTTGTAGTTATTTAACAATTTTCAGTACCTAATTTTCAATGAATGTGGAGCTGAATTATTGGATGCGTCACGTGATTGCCCTGATTGTGGATTCGGTTGAGTGTTTTTGTTTTCGTTTTTGTTCTCTCCAGAGTTTTCTTTTTTCCATTTTCTCGTCCTCAGTGAGCTTTTTAATCCTCTTTTGGTGCTTTTTTTGTCTTCGTAATTCCTTCTTCTTAAATTCTTCATATTTTTCCGGGTTTTGTTTGATTTTTTCTCGGTACCGTTTTGACTTTTCTGCAGCCGTCAAGGGCATATTTAAACCTAAAATCAATAGTGAGTTATCATAATGTACCCCGTACGAAAAATCTCAAATTTTTGTGAAAAAATTTATATAGATTTACAAAAAGCGTTGCGTGAAATATTTGTCAAAATAAATGTGATAACTGTTTATCAAATATATTTTCACGCAAAAACAAAAAAATTTTCATTCAGGATACCATTAAAATTAAACACTAAATGCAGCCATTTCAACAATATAACGTAATAACTATCGTTATTTCACTGTTATTTTTCTAATGTTATCCTGAATGGAGTGTTTTGAGCTGAAATATCTAGTCGAAAAATCTTGTTTGATTTACACACGAAATTAAGTAATAAGCAATTCATTTAAAAAATTCAAGGCATTTTATTATTATTTTAATCATACTTAATTTATTTAGACTTTAGAACACTAATTAAAACAATGACTTTATGAACCGACCTTTAGGATTCCATTACGTCACTTTTGAGTTCCATTCATGCGATAGTAGCGCTAATGGAGGTAACGTAACCATGCCAATAAAATTTTCAAATGAATTTACTAATTAGTTATCAAACTTTTGTTCAATATAACTTAACATTTCAAATA